TTGAAAATAGGCAATGGATCTGTAGGGCAATTCAAGTTTCAACAAATAGTTGATGGGCACCAAAAATAAGAGGATATGCACAAGGCTACAAGCTGCTGAGCTATTCGAATTTAAAGGCCTGTTTGGTTGGGCTTCCCTAGATTCTTTTTCTAAGAAGTGGTAAACCAAAAAAGCCCATAAGAGAGGGATGCCAAAGGATCCACCCCAAGGTCCCGTCACTTGCACTTGCAACTGTGCATTATTTGACCCATGCTTATGAAGTGCTGATTTGAAGTTGTTTTCTGATGCATCCATTCTCACGTTTTGAGTATCGTCTAGAAATAGAGTTGTTGGTTGATATGCTAGTAATATGCATAAGGAATGAGTGTCTAAGGGCACTGAATAATAAACCCCATTCACTCCATTTGATTTGCTGTTTTTCTATTTTAAGGATTTAAATGTATTTATAATAAAACCCCTCGTTTTTTGCAAATTAAAAAGAAAAAAAAAAAGAAAGAAAGAAAATGTTTATAAGTCTGACATAATTTTATAAATTAATGACAAAAAAGAGCAGACATGAATTATATATAGTTACTAATTTGTTTAAACCAACTGATAACCGAGTAACATATTTTGATTATTAAAAAAATATACATGTAATTGTAACAATTAAAACATATTAGTCAACTGTTTGTCAAAATAAAAGAATAATATATAAAAGACACTCTGATGTAGTAGATTACACAGCCATGGTATAAATAGAATTGCATATACCATGCCGATCGTTTACATTGAGGGAAATATGATGATAGAAATAGCTAGCCAAGGCAGTGCTCCTGCTAGATTCTTTCATGTAGTAGTCCTCAAGGTCCCATTCCCTATGTGCAAGTTAAATTTCTTTAGGAAAATTTGATGATTCCTATCTCCCTACTCTTCCTTTCAAAGTTTTTGCCTTCTAGTGTACATCCAATTCCCTTCACACCAAAGAGAATAACTGGACAACTTCCTTTACGAGCCCCCTCTTCATTTGCATATACCAAATCCCCAAATTTCTACTTATTGATGAGAAGGGTTTCTTTTGAAGTCTGCTTGAATGATATTGAAGAGAACTAATTCTCTAGGAGCACAGGGAGCCACAGAGATCCTTCCTAGCTCTTGAGCTGAACATGTTAGGGAGTAGTAACAGCAAGGAATTAACTAACAAAGGTTTTCAATCTTGTAGCTAGTTTTGTAATTGTGAAAAGGAAATGGAAACCATGATAGAATAAGCATACGGAATCATGGCCGTTAAGCTTATTTTAATAGTTATATAATAAAAGGTTTGAGTGTTGCAATTCTACGCAAGAAAAAGGTTGTATAGTTAGCATATGAGTTCAATTGTTTCCTTCCCAAATAATCAAATTCCTTAAAGTTTAATGCATCTACATAGTACATAATACCTAGTTTAGGTCAATAAACAGTTGTCAACCTAGGAACATTAAACTTTGAAACTTAATCTTCAAACACAATAAATAACAGCAATGAGGATTAAATATGATATGGGAAATGACATGGTCCAATCTTCAACCTTCTTTATTGCTCCATTGTTCTGCAGCATAGCTGTTGCAGGTATTCTTGGGATTAACTTTGCATGCAAGAAGAGTTATTGGTCAATTTAGAGGGATATTTTACCAGCGTCTTGGATTAAATATGAAAGAAAGAGAAACCAGATCTCCTTATAGATTTTGAATGGACAATAGAATGGTTTTGCAATCATAAGCAGAAGACTATTTGTCCTATTGCAACATTAAGATGAGTTTTAATTAATAAACATTTAAATAAAAAAAATTCCACAACCAATGATCCCTTGGTTTAGTAGTAAAGCTATACCATGAAAAATAAAAAAATGAAAAAATGTTATAATTCCAATAACCACCCAGGCAATAGGTTCAAACACTGGAATATAACAGAAACAAGTAGAGGTTTCCTTTCCCAATCTTGTTCTCCTGCTGTTAAGAGCAAATGGTTTAATTGAAAACCAGTATACTTGCTTAATTTGATACCTGAAGAATAATGAGGCAAACGTTCCCACCTGATCAACATTTGGATGGAAGCACATAGTTTCAAACCTGACTTGAGGTGGCTTGAAAGGGTAGTCCAATGGAAATTACAAGGAAAGTTTGTATGAAAAAGCCTCATATATAGTTCCTTTTCCACCTTCAATTGTGCCAATCCATGTCAAAATGCTCTCTAGTTAAGAAAATGCTGATACTCTAGATCTCCTCCACTCATCTACATAAGAAGAAAATCAGGTATTAAGTGAAAATGTAGTTCTAATGGAACCAATAACAAAGGCTTTTCCTACATAGGTAATGTATTGTGTACAGTTACTAAGTCATCTTAAGCACTTAAACACTTTAACAAACATGGTCCCAACTCCTAACAATTAATTTTAATAATCTTTTGAAGGGTGGCATAAACATATTTGGAACTTGGAAGCACTCATTCTTATGTTATGGGTTATAACCATGAGCTGCCCCTTGACTTGAACTCAAGATAAGTCATATTCCATTCACAAATAAATACTCATTCTTGAACTACCAATCACACTAAGAAATGAGAGAATGAATTCTAGCCAATAATACAGAAACTTCCCCATCTTAAATAAATAATTGACATGCCTGCTATTGAATGTGCATTAGGATACGAATGCACCACCATTTAGTGGCATGCAGCTCAGCGACATTTACATAGGTCAAGAAATATATTCAGCTGATTGCATGAATGGTTGATATGCAAAACTCAGTAAAAGGAAAAGTAACATATTTTTAATAGGTGAAATTTAACAGGCAGATGCACATTAACACATTCTGAGTAAGTTTGATAATCAGTGGAGTCGATCTGAAGATATAATTAGCACCATTAAAAAAAGAACAGTAAACATAATCAAATCATTCATTTCTATTCTTTTCTGCGTTTTCCTTCTCGACCTATATTCAGAAGTTCTAGTAACAATCTATTTACAACCTAAAACAATATAAATTACTATTCAAACTGTCATATTTACAGAATCAATCAGAAATCCCATTTTTTTCCAATCAGAGGTTAAACTAAAGGAAAATTATTCATTGAGGACAACAAAGCATCACAACAGCCATATAAATCATGGATGCATATCGATTCGGCAGGAGCATAAAAAGTGGATACATATAAAAGGCTCAATAGTCACTTCAACGTGAGGATTTGATAACAACAAATCGTTCTCAATCATTTTCATAAACTAAACCCAGTTACAGAATTCTGCGGAGACAAATTTGAAGCTATAAAACTAACAAGCAAATTCATTTGTATAAATAAGATATTCAAACAAAAAATTGGAGGAAAATATGAAAAAAAAATTGAATGATTGAATTCGATCTCTTACTCACCTAGGAAAGAAAATAAACAAAATTTCAGAACTCCAATCTGATTTAGTCAAGATCTCGAATTCCTCGGACTCAGTTTCTGGGCGTTTCCTCAACAGCGTCGTTCACTAGTGAGGAGCAGAGTTAAGAAGTGGTTACGGTTTTGGATTTTAGAGGTGACGGGGCTGAGATGAGAATTGCACGCGTGTGGAAACGCACGTGTAAAAAAAATGTTTTAAGAAGGATTCCACTGCCGGGATCAAATTTTTATAGCACCAAAATTTACGTGAAATTTATTCAACTTCTTTTAGGTAAATGCTAAGAATAAGAGTTCTTAATAAAAGCAACAAAGACCAATCAATGAGATGAAATAAACATTCAGATTCAAGGCATGCTATGAGGTCAACAGATTTAAGGCAGTTTGCAGAGACCCCCTCTTGAGCTTAGTTGAACATAAGTTGGTAAAGACCTTAAATTTGATAGATAATTACATGATCAAAAAGTTTCAATCCAAAAGCAAAAAAGTAAATGTTTATTTGACCAACAAGCTTAAGAGCTTATGAAATAGTAGTAAAATCCTTGAGAGGAAGATGATTGACCAGAGAGATCACAAAAAGTTTTGAATTCGAAAAAACCTTTTAAGTGGTTAACTTACCGCTTTCACTGATGAGACAATATAATTCCTCCCAAGAGGACTTAGAACATTGGATGGGAGTCTTATTCTATAAAAGTCATCACCTTGAAGCAAATACTGTAGGACAGAGAACAATACAAATAAAAGAAGCAGTGTACAATGATTTATTGCAAGGACAAAAAAAAAAAAAAGAACCGTTAGTCAGGATTTTAGATAACATGCAATTACTTTGAACTTCTCCTACTCCTCATTAGTGAAACCATTTCTTGAAAACGACAGCTTTGTTAGTGTCTGTCACAAAGAAAAATTGCATGTGAAATCCATTATCATACTTGGAATTTTCTAATAAGAACATCAAGCCAACTATAATTGACAAAGGAATCAGGATCAATCATTCAAATCTCAACAAGAGAATTCAAAATCTTCATTGAGTTTCTGAGACAAAAGGGAAAAAAGAGAAGTGGAAGAGGAACTATAAGCTCTTTAGCAAACCCCAATTTTTACCTCAGTTTTTAAACTTTATTTTAGCAATTAAACCAATCCCCAGAACAGCCAAACAGGATGAAAACAACGAAGAAGTTGAACTAGTAATCAGAAATGAATTCAAGATTAGCAATTTAGCATCGGATTTTAAATCTAACCTAGCCACCGTGAATCCAAGTCTTGAGGCGGGCAGAGAAAGTGCCAACGGGAGCAAAATCGGAGTTGCTGAAAGCGTGCTTCAGAATGAACTGGATCTTGGAGTCAGACTTCGACTTTGCGGGTTCAAGGAAGTGAGGTGGCGCGCCCTCGAGACCGAACTCCTCGTTGTCTAGGGGGAGCTCATCGAATCGAATTGGAAAGAGGGGAAGGAGAAGAGCGAGACAGTGAGAAAGAAAGCTAATATCACTCCTTTCTTCATTTTTCTGGTTTTGCTGTTAAGGGGAGGAATCAACGGGCTTTGTGGAGTGGACAAGAGCGATTGGATTCAATTTTTTTGGTTAGTCCCTGAACTTTTTTTTCGAGTCCCTCTAAATTCAGTACCTGTTTGGTAGTGCTTCTTGGAGTTTCTGCTTTTTTTTTTTTTTTTTTATATTGTTTATGAGTGATAAGTTTAAATTTTTATTAGAAAAAAAATTTAAAAGTTACTTTTAGATATAGTAAAAAAGAAGTAAAAAGAGAGTAAAAAGAGAGATTGTGAAAAACTTGAATTTGAAGTTTTTGAACTTTTACTATTTAAGGTTTTTTAGGTTAAAAAAATTTTAAAAATGTAAATTTTTAAAAAGAAAATTTAAATTTATAAAACATGAATAGTATCAAAAAACTAAAACTCCTGGAAGCACTACCAAACATGCCCTTAATAAAAAGTCAATTTTGATTATTTTAGCCTTAATTTTTAGGTTAAATTTAACAAATAATCTATTAACTATTGCCTTTTTTCCCATTTTGTCTATTAACTATTTTTTGTTTCTAACTAGTCTATTAACTTTCAAAATTGTATCATATTAGTCTAGTCCGTTAAAGCTATTTTAAAGGACTAACGGAAATCCACGTGGCCAAACAATCAATGTTTTAAAAATCAGCCTCTAATTTTATTCAATTAAATTCCTAAACAAATTTTT